GCAATTTTACCGCCGGAGTTTTTGACGGAGACGAAAGAAAGGGGTCTACTAGCAAGCTGGTGTCATCAAGAGCAAGTTCTAAGCCACCCATCGGTCGGAGGGTTCTTAACGCATTCTGGGTGGAATTCCACCATTGAAAGTGTGTGTGGAGGTGTGCCCATGATATGTTGGCCTTTCTTTGCAGAGCAACAAACCAATTGCTGGTATTGTTGTAGTCGTTGGGGGATTGGAATGGAGATTGAAAGTAATGTTAGGAGAGAGAAAATTGAGAGCCTTGTGATGGAGTTGATGGTTGGGGAGAAGGGAAGAGAGATGAAGAAAAGGGCTTTGGAGTTGAAGAAGTTGGCAGAAGAGGCCACTGCTTTAAGTGGGTCATCTTCCATAAATTTCGAGAAAATGGTTACCGAGGTGCTCAATTCCAATGTTTAAAAATGTCTTCTTTTTTAATAATGTTATATAGAATATTGGGTGTAATGGTAATGAACAATAACAATGTTACTGAAATTTAATTTAGTGAGATAATTTACTATGATCTTTAGATTGACTGTGAGCTCCATTAAACAATGAAACTACATCATTAGATTAACAAGTTATGTCAAATTTTTAGATTCAAATAGCATTATTCAATCGTAATGTGCCATCATTTAATAATAAATTTAGAGCAATGCTACATAAATTTAAAAAATATACTTAAAAATTAAACTTGATAATTAGAACTATTGGTTTCACAGTGAGTTCCAGTATTTATTGGGACTCACTACCTATTCAATGGTTGAGATCATCAAGTCTAATTTTTAAAATCATCTAACATTATTCGTAAATTTATAAGTGAATAAAATAAACTCTATTTTTTTACGAATGATGATTATTTTTCTACATGAACATGATAATTAATAAATTAAATAGAGTATTTTTATTTACATATTAACTTATTATTAATTGGTGATATCATGTGATAATAATAACATAGTATTACTGTTACATTTAATATTTGTTGGTTGTCTCACTTCTAATTCCATAACAATAATAAATTCTATTTTTACATTCAATACAAGTCATCTCCATATTTTTTGCAAAAGTGAAGGTAATAATTTTACGGGTAGATGAACTGTAGACGTCATGAGTTCGAATTTTGACAATTTCTTAAAGTTAAGTGATGAAAAATTTATTTATCATACATATTATAGTTCTAACGTGAACGACTTGCCATTATAAAGAGTATTAGTTGAGGTAGAGAGGATTAATGCAAATACTCTAACCGCTAAAAAAACTAAAAAATCGTAAGACAAATGTTGTGTTTGATAAAATTATAAGTTGAATATTGAAAATTGAATATTAAATTTTAAGTACTAAATACTGAATTTTTTAATTTGTAAAACTGTTTGATATCTATTGAAATTTAAGTATTAAATTGAATCAAACTGTTTAAGAAATATAAAGAGTTGAAGTTTGAAAATTATTATTATTATAATTTTGTTATTCTTTTTAACTGTCTCACTACAACTATTTTATTTCTACAATCACCATCACAATAGTGGTGACAGGAGGATGGCGGTGTCATAATGGTGGTATGGGCGACAACATAATGGTGATGGCAATGGTGGTAGTGCTAGTGGTGGTGGTGGCATAATGAATATGATGGCGATAATGGTGGTAATGGCGGTAATGGTGATTGATGGTGGCAGTGGTGATAATGACGACACACTGATAGTGACAATGGCAGTGGTGGTGGTGGCGACAGTAATGACGGTGGTGGTGGTGGCACAATGGTATTGGTGATGATGACACAAATGGAGATGGAGAAAGAGTAGTTAAAGTGCTCAAGTGTAATGTAATGTATCTGACAGCTGCTCATGTCTCTCCGAACTAACTCTCTAGACTTCACTGTTACTTATTTTTAGGCAGATTGATCTAAGTTTTTGTACTGTTTAACACACAACTTAAAACTTAAAATTAAATATTTTAAATATTTAATAAATTAAATATGTTTGATAACTTAAAATTTAATGCTGAAAATATTAGTGAATAAAGATTTAATCAATTCCTCATAATGAATAAATATACTCTCAATATATTTTACACTCTTAATTTTTTAATACCCACCACCACCATTGTGCCGCCGCTGCCACCATTAGGCTTGTTAATCGAGTCAATTTTTGTGAGTTTGATTTTGAACCTGGTAATTTTGTTTTTTTAAACGATTTTAAAAAATTGTTCAAATTTGACTTATTTATAACTCGAGCTTTTCTCCAAACCCAGCCTTCCCACAAATCTTAATTCCTTAAACCAGTATGTTTTAAACTTATTTCTCAAACCCCTTTTTTAAAAGACATCATTTGGAATGACGTCTTTATAAGTTAAAACGTCATTTTAAATGACGTTTTTAAACCGAATTTTTTTTTGAAAAACATCATATAAAATGACGTTTTTAAAGACGTCATTTTTAATAATGTTTTAACCTATAAATTTTTAAAAAACAACTAACAAATGTAATAAAAAAATAAGGAATAAAAAACGTCATTTAATGACGTTTTCTGCCAACACAAACACAGCGAAGAAAAGTGCAAACAGTAGTGCCATCTGCAGTGTGCTATGGAAAAAAAACAGTGAAACTCAACCATGGACCAGCTTTTTGACTTTACATGAGGATTAAATTGCTTGTTCTATGGAGTCCCAGTTAGTACTGGTGGCGGAGGAGAGATAAAGTGCTATCTGCAGTGTCCACACCCCCGGCCCCTCTTTTTCTGTTTTGCTTTCTCTCTCTCTCTTGCACACACAGACAAACACAAGCGCACGCATGGAGCTTGGTGTACTTTTTTTTTTTTTTTATAAGAATCAAAACACATTTATTAATGAAATATGAAAATTAAATCAAAAACGGTTGGATATGAAATCCATGCAAGAAAATAAAATAAGCAAGGGAGCTTGTTAAACTCAAGATTCACTCAATTGGTATGCCACATAATGTCATAACCAAAATAATTATGTTTTGCCTCTATCTTTTACAATCATTATAAAAAAATGTTATTATAATTTTTTGTGTTGTACGTGCATGTGAATAGTAAAGAACATAGATGTTCATAAACAACTTGATGATGTAGGAGCTCTGATATATTATTTTCTAGGTCAATGATGATTTGCAGGTACTTCTAGAGAGCGATGACTCCAAGGTTGAGGAGGTCATGAAGAAACATTCAGATGAACTGTCTGCAACAGTAATTTTCTGCAATTTATGTTTTACATTATTCCACTACACTCTATCATGATCTTATCTTTGCTCGAATTTTTGATAAGATGTTCTCTCGATATCTATAAGCTTTTGGAAATGCTCGAATTCGATCAACGTTATAATGTGAAAGATATCTTATAAAGATTGAGCAGCAAGGGGGAAGGTAAGATCAAATTAGGGTGAATGGTGGATGACATTATTAAACTTCAACACAGAGCAATTGATGTGGCTTAATTGCTTGCATTTGTCTGAAAGTAATAGCTTGGCATGGTTTCATCGAAATTTTAGTTCTGGTTGCTAAACATATCTCTGTGGTTGCATTATACATGGCATAGTTTTAAGGGACCATTCAAGAGGATGATAAAGGGGCATAATTCTCTAGCAAAATTGGAGCCTCTAATCCCTCAAAAATCTGTTCGTTAGATGAAAATGCAGATTGGTAAAATTTGTAACTTTATCATTAATGGTGTAGGAATATGCTTTATTCCAGCTCATGTCACGATTACCGTTATTGAGCTCGAAGGAATAATTGATGTAAGTTTAACCACCCAGTAACCAAAAAAAAATGGTGTATGATCTATCAAAAAATATTGGAGAAAATTTGATTCCTATAAAAGAGCTATGGAAGATTTTATACGTTAACATTATATCCACAGAGAACATATAATGTGAGAGGAAAAATGAATTAATAAGAAAAGAAAAGGGTATTTCCTAGCACACACAACCACCCCCCCCCCCCCCAAAAAAAAAAAAAGGAAGGAAGAAGACAATTACAGAGACCCTTGGACTCCCACAAAATTGTTCTTGTCACTAGCATTAAGAAAGCAAGAAAGACAAATAACAATCACCCCTTGTAGATTACATCTATCCACCAAATAGAATCAATCATCTTCACTCAAAAGGAGCTACGCCTTGGTCGTTCCTGTGCAACATTAACTCTGATTGCCCTGCCGTCCAAACTCTGCATTAAAAGCAACACACGAAATCAGGCAGAGATTAAGGTACTCACGGTATTCCAAAATGAAACATACTCGAGAGGTCACTTCAACATTCTTTTTTTCCCTACTTCTTTTCTTCCTACTTTCGTATTCGTTGATCTATTTGTGCGGATGGAGAATTAACCTGTGAGGGTGGAATATATCCCCACACCCCCCTCCCCCTTCCCCTGTTAGAAGGTTTGTGTTCCACTCAATTAAATATAAAAGACAATGTTGCTTGGTCTATCAGAAGCTTTAACTCTGCTTTTACTAGTTTTTCTATCAGAATATTAAGTATAACTGCCTGATGCAAAGGGGAAGTAAAATGTGTTTAAAAACATCACTTCTCTAAGGCAACTTCTATAAACCCACTTTTGCACTCCAAGAGAATTGTCCATGATAAATGAGTAAAAAGATTTTCTTCTGAAAGACACAACCAAAAATTGGTTAATGCGATGACTTTGACCACCAAAAGCAATAGTTCCCCGCATCAATAAAATGTACCACAAAAAAACTCAAAAGTCTGAGTGTAAAAGGCCTTACATGCTAGCATATTTTGATCAAATACTCGTCAATGACTCGCCACCATTTTGGAAAAACAAAAAAAAAATACAAGACACTCAAAAGGTCAACCAAAGAGTTATCTTCCCCTTTACAAAGGCTGCAAAAACAATCCACCAACACCCCACCAAGGAACCCGAAAAAGAAGGAAAAGGCGACGTGGGGAAACACTATTTAAACTTGTTATGAACAAAAAAATTGGCCCTTACAGCCTTGCTTACACTTGTCGCATTTCATCTCTTTCGCTTGGAAGCAGCACCAGCACCTCGTCCCCCTCTCTTATCTTTGCTATTAGAACCGCCTTTTCCTCTGCCTGCTGATGCCTTTTTAGCCCCACTATTTCCAGCACCCTTCAATTCCACATCTACTTGGATTCCTACTCAAAAAAGAAAACAAAAACAAAAGGGTAAAAGTATATGTATCTGATTATTACTTGTATTACCATCAATTCTCGCAAAATTAAATCAAAAATACCAGATGAGAAGTGGAGATTTCCCCCATTTAGTAGAGAGAATTATCGCCTACCCTTTGAATTAAGACTCTGTAGATCCAACTACAGCTTCTTCTCACCATCAGCCGAGCCTTTTGACACAAATCACAAGCACCAATAATTCAAAATTATGAAAACACCACCACCAACATAAAACCATCTAATATATTCCAAGGAAAACATCAAACATCGCCTGATACCCACAAGCTGTACATCTTGATAAATAAATCAGTAAATAAAAATAAAAAATATCCCAGGCTATAATATTTATTTGTGGAATTTAACCTAGAAATGAAAATAATCAGCACAAACTTCTACAATTTTACATTTATATAGAATAACAGCTAGCTTTGTAACTCTATTACGTATTACATACAAATCCTATATTCACCTTCTTGATATCTGTTCAGAAAACACCCATTAACACAGATCCATGAGCATCGCCGGAACCCATAAGGCCATTTAATAAATGAACTGCACCCCAATAAAACTCAAGAGAACCGCTCAGACTCAGACAATACATCACAAGTTCGAGTCTGAAAATAAACAGTTCCAAAATAAAGAGTAAAACTAGATAATTTTCTCTCCCAATTATTACGTATAAACTTTTTGTTGGAGCCTTTTTCTCCGAATATGCTGCCACATTTTGGCACCTAAATGAAACGGTTGAGGTGAATTTTTATACAGACACAATGGTCAAATTTGAACCTACACCCCTGGAGTCAGGGTAATAATTTAACGTGTTTCTAGTCCACAGACTTCCACATATAACATGGTCTAAGAGCGGTAAATAGTTGCTTATCCTCATTTTAGAGAGGTTGATTTCCACCCCGGTTTATAAATCACGAATATCTATTACCTGCTACATTGACAAAAAACATTAGGTGATTTATATTTCCCAAATGTCAGCACAGAAACAAGGTATTACATTGGATAGGAACATCTTAAATCCAAATTACTGTCAACAAAAAAGCAGTAGCAAGGTGCAAACATTGTATCAATTTCGGGTTCTTTAATACTGGTTCACTTCAACTGGAAGGGTAGACAAAACTCCAAAAACACCTCGAAGGATTGTTCACACGTTGTATCGACCTTTTGCTGATCTTTCCTTTTTAGAATCATCCTGAAATAAACAAAGCAGTAAGAAATAGAGAAACACTCTGCTAAGAGACAGCCAATCTTAAGAGTACCGAAATTTACATGAAAGCTGTAAGATCTTATCAGCGACATCAATAATTTCCTTCCACTTCCTCCCAATACTCATCTACAGCAAAAGAATCAAATCAATCAATATTAATTAATCTGATGCTCTCTGAAGGGCTTAAAACAAGAAAAACATTCTGATCATCCCAAAATAATCACACAAGACTTAGAACCCTAACATATGAGGTTGCAATATATCAGATCACTCAGAATAGATCAGGCCACAGAACAAATCCTTTGGGCAAAAATTGATTTAGGGCAAAAATCGATTTTGGGCAAAAAATAGAGAATGGAGAATGTGCTCACTGCTCAGTCGGTGGTGGAGGCTGTGCACGCTGGTGGAGGCTTCAAGCTGGTGGAGGATGTGCTCGTCGCTGGTGGAGGCTGTGCTCGTCGCTGGTGGAGGATATGCTCGCTGGTGGACACTGTGGTCGCTGGTGGATGGTTCTCCGATGATCTTCCTCGTCGGAGAGTGGCTGAGGAGGAGGAGAGAGATGAGCAGTTATGTTTGAAAATTTTTGAAAATTTTTTACGTAACTTGTGTGAAATGTGAAATTTAAGTAGCCTGACTTTGAAATCGTAATTGAAAATGACGTTTTTGAAAACGTCATTATAAAAAACGTTTTTAAATTTTTTATTTTTTTAAATGTCTGTTAGAATCAGTTAAAAATTCTTGTTATAAAACGTTAAAATTTAACGATTTTAAAAACGTTATTTTTAACGACGTTTTAGGGAAAAAAAATTCATGTTCAAATCATTTTTTAAATGACATTTTTAGGAAATAAGGCGTCATTCCAAATGACGTTTTTAAAAAAAAATTGGATTTAGAAATTAAGTTTAAAAGTGACTGGACTATAGAATTAAGTTTTGAGGGGGACTGAGTTTGGGAAAAAGCTCTTTATAACTCGAGCTGAACTCGAACTTGAGTCAAACTCTACTAGCTCGATTATTTTACATATAAACGAATTGAGTTTTGCGAGTTTAAACCAAAACTCAAAAATTATTCAAGTTCAACTCATTTAAAACATAAGTCAAACTCGAGCAAATTTTTATTTAAGTTGAGCTCGAGTAACTGCTCTCGATTAACTCCCCTAGCCATCACCACCATTGTGTTCTCCATCCATTAGGACTGCTGTAAAGGCCACTCTAAAGGTCAACTCAACTGCATTTTTAAGACAAGTCATTGGCTAATTACTGTAGCATTACTTAGCCCTTAATTAAAAATTCATTATTGTTTTAACTGTTACTCATTCACAAACCACTTGTTCATCACTTTTTTTCACCATAAAACTCTCATTCCTACTTTCAAATTAACATCTTTCCTTCAATCTCTCTTTCTTTTTTCTCCATATATCACGTTTTCTTTTAGCATTTCAAAAGTTTCACTTGAAGAATTGGTAAGAAATTATTTTCTTTTCTCTTACTGTCCATTATTGTGTGTATCATGTTTTTTGCTTTATATTTATCATGTGATGAGTTTTATTGTATGTGGAGTCAATGTGAGGAGTAAGGACATAGATTGAATAATGGCTTCAAATCGAGACAAATAAATTGTACAAATTGGCATTTTTTTTACTTTATAGATTTAAATTATTTATGTATATGTTTGATTTCACTATACATGAATGAAATTTTAATTATATATCATTACGTAATTTTAAAATATAGAAATTTGTGACTATAGCAACGAAGAAGTTAGAGCTGACTATTTTTGAGATTAATGCACCTGATCAATTTTTAAGCCAATAATTATTATTGTAACCTGAAAGTTGGTATGTTAGCAAATAGTGAAGAAAAGACATTTAACGTGTGTAACAAATATGCATACAATAAAAGTTTTAACATTCTATAGGGGCATAAGAGCTTTTCAAGGGACACGGATGAAGTTAGTAGACACATATTTTTATGTTTAAAAGAGGGATTTAGAGAATTTACATATCTAAATGAAGAGATAAAATCCTATAAATTAAACACAAAATGTGGTTTTCAGACTCGTGTTATTTTTACTTTGAAAAATGACGTATATAAAATTTCAAAATTTATCTCTAATCACAATCACCTTTTTGTTGAATATGAACAATGATGCTTGATAAGATTCGCCTAAAAGATACAAAATACTAGTAAAGTTGTTATTAAATCAATGGTTGACGTTGGTAGAAGAGCTACAAAAATATTTTCTTATCTATTAAATGAAGTTGGTGTTGGTGGATATCAAAATGTTGGATTTACTCATAATGATCGTCATAATTTTATACAAGCCGAAAGGGAAAAAAAATTATGATCAAAGTTTGTTTAATTATTTCAAGCACCAGCAATAGGGGTGTTCACCTTACCCTACGGGTAGAAAATATGTTCTTCCGTCTTCCTACCCGATACTTTGCGGAAGAATTTTTTTTGGCCTACCCTACCCGACAGGTGTGGTATTCCTACCCGACTTCCTACCCGATTAATCGGGTAGGAAGTCGGATAAATATTTTTGTAACAATTAATTTTTGGATCATTTTAACAATTTAATTAAATAACATGCACCAATTTAACAACACAATAAATCAATTAACACTAAAATTTAAAACAACTACAACAAGAATTATAATAAAACACATGAAAATATGAACATCAATCCACCATAATTGTTACACAAATACAATAACGATTAATTTAAGTTTAAACTTTAAATCATATGAAATACATTAAAATCATAATTGCTCAATCTGTGGTTAGGGTTTAGGATTTTTTTAGTTTACATATATATATTAAAAAATTATTGCGGGTAGGGTAGGGTAGGAATATGAAAATGAATGGCTATTCCGCATTCTTACCCAAAAATTGTTAAAAAATCAAAAACTCTTCCGCATTCCTACCCGATTTTTGGGGCTAGCCGTTCAGTAGAGTAGGGTAGGATAGGGTAGGAACTTGCGGCCGATCAGAAATTTGAACACCCCTAACCAGCAAGAAGAAAATCCTATGTTTTTTTATACTGTACAAGTTGATGAGGAAAACCAAATGACCAATTTTTGATTAAGTATCACATGTTCCTTAAGATTTATAATATGAATATCGAACATAAATCTTATAGAAATGCTTGAAATAATGAAGGGGAAACATTTCTATTATTTAACTAATTTAAGGTTACTAAATATAAATGAGTTCTTGAATACCCAGCAAAGTTCTTCAAATTTGGTCATACAAGTTACTCAAAATTTCAATTTAAACTAGTAGCTAGAGTCCTTAATTAACAAAACAAACAATTCAATAATTAAAAAAATAAACTAATAATCTCACTTCTAATAGAATACTACAAAAGCAATTGGAATTCTTATTCGACTACTACTGCTCAAGACGAATGTAGAATCCCATATGGATTACATTAATCCATTCCAATAATTCTAGCCACAATTAAAATCATAACAAAATCTATATAATAAAGTACAATACAATTTAAATATCAAAAGATAAACAAATTAATTTTTATTTTTCGCGGTAGAAATCTCTTTAAATTTTACTTTAAAGTTAATCTAACAACTAATATTAACACACCAAATTTAATATGAAAATAGATCATAAGGGTGTATTTGGAAATAACCTTTTAAAAGTACTTCTAAAATTTATAACTTTTCAAAAATACTTTTAAAAAAAAAAGTAGTATTTGAAACCACCCCACCACAACGACTACTGGTGCTACCCCACCACCACCTTTATCACCGCCGTCACCACTACTACTGTTATCCCACCACCACCACCACACCTACCACCCCACCAACACCGCCATCACCACCACTGTTGCCACCCTACTACCACTACCCCCGTCCCTACCACCACCATAACCACTACCACCACTACTGTTATCCCACTACCACCTCTGTTACAATGACCATTACCACCGTCATCGCCACCACCATTATCGTCACCCTTACCCCAGAACCCCTACCAGCACTCCCTACAGTCTAACCGCCATCCCTACAACCATCACCACTACCATCGTCACCATTGCCAGTGCTACCCCTCACCATCACCACCACCATCGCGACCCACCACCAATTACTGTCACTGTTGTCCACCACCACCACTCACCACTATCGTTATCTCATTCTTAAATTTATTACCACTATTACTATCGCCCCACCATCAACACCCAACACCACCCACAGTCACCCACTACCACAACCGACCACTACCCGTTATTGCCCACCATCGCCATTAGTCATTTTCACCCACCCCCACCACTTGTCATCATCCACCACTGTCACCACCTGCGGTCACCCCCACCCCCACCACACCTACCACAATCACTATCACTGTCATTCATTACCACCTATCACACTGTCACGTAGAAAAACCCGTCCCCACCCACCACTATCACTGTCGCCCACCACCACAACCGCTGTCACCAATGGCTGCTACTATCACTATCGTCACCCAAAATTCAAAACCACCATCACCATTGCAACCCACAATTGTCACCACCACGACGATTGTTGCCAACCACCATAATTATCACCATTTTTCACAACCACCACTGTCACCCACCATCACTACCATCAGTTACACCCACTACAACGGATGCTTAAATTTTTTTCTCTTTTGTTTATGTTTGTGATTTAATTTTGGGTGTGAATACAAATATATTTATTATTGACAATTTTTTTACTATCGATTTTCATCGTCCTAACCCGATAGAGTGTGTGCTATTGACATACAGAAATACAACTCGATTCTACAGGAGGATCGAGTTTATACTTTCCTTGATGGACTAGATGACAGATTGGATAAAACTCGGAGTGATGTGCTCCAAATTAAACCATCCCCTACGGTGGAACAGGCCTACACTTTTGTCCGTAAGGAAGAGGTCAGGTAGACGGTGATGATCTCGGGTGCAGATACTACTCTAGGAGCAGTTATGGCTTCCAAAGGGATCAAGGGAAGTCACCACCAGATGCCATCGAAACCAGGGGCTCTTTCTCTAAGCAGCGGAAAATCCAACCCCTCATCCAAAACCAAACCACCATCTGATGGCATGACGTGTACCCATTGTGGCAACTCCAAACACACTTGTGACACCTGCTTCAAACTACATGGGTATCTAGATTGGTGGAACTACTTTCAAGCACAAAAAAAGCGTGAAGCCTCTGCTAGTGATGACCACACTGGGAGAGCTGCTGTGGTTACCTGTGATCCTTCGTTATCCCTCATCCCTCAAGTAAAATCTTCACATGAACTAGGTACTTCTAGTAAGGCATTTTATATCTCTACTCACAATGATGACGATGACTGGATTCTCGACTCTGGAGCTACAGACCATATGACATTTGATTCAAACGATTTATCTAATACAACTCAACCGAGATGGAGCTGTGTTGCAAATGCCAATGGGGTCACTTATCCGGTTACCGGGGCTGGAACAGTGACTTTATCTCCTTCCCTTTCATTATCTAATACATTACTTGTACCCTATCTTTCAAATAGACTGATGTCTGTAAGTCAAGTTACTGCAGATCTTAATTGTGTGGTATTGATGCATTCTACCTTTTGCCTTCTTCAGGATATTCTCACCAA